ACGTACTAGAAGGAATTATAGCAGCTGATGTTCAGCCTGTGCCCTTGGTCTTAGCCAGCCTCTCTTCAGTCTCTTTGTTGGGTAGAAAGAGTGTCAGCCTGGGGACCCAGAGAGCAAGGTGCACAATCCTGTATATTTGAAAGATCAAAGGGCAGAGTCCAGGTAGGGGCAACCTATGTGTCTATACAAGTCAATTATATTCTAGAAATTTTGGAACTTTGAAAAGAAATCACTTTTTCCCTCAAAGTCAGAATTAGCTGTGTGACATCGAATTCAGTACTTTTCCTCTCAGAATCTCTCTTTTTCATCAGATAGAGTGAGGATTAGCTGCTCTGCATATCCTAGCAGGGTACTGTTCTCCTTGGTGCCCTGATGTCTGGCACACATGCCACAGATGCCATGGGAAAGTGGGTACCAGGAAGCCTGAGCTTCTTTATGATCCCAGAGATGTTCAGAGGCGAGAGGATCCCACACCCAGGATCCCAGAACTATCAAGGACTTAGGGTATAGATAGTGAAAATAAACTTTTTCATTTGAACTAATTTAAACAACATCCCAACACAGCACACGTAAACACAGGTGCACACATAGTTTCCTGTCGCACTTAGCTCTACATTTGTCCATCAAGATTCACCCTTTGTCCCACAAGATTCAACCTTTGTCCCACAAGTTTCCAAAAGGGCTGATTTCCTAACCATTTCTGTGTCTGGGTGCCAGAGCACCCCCTGGAGGTAGTGGATCTGGTTGAGACATGTGAAAGCTAGTCTTGGTTGTCAACGTGACTACATCTGGAATTAAATTAAAACCCAAATATGGGCACACCTGTGGGGGGATTTTTGCTTAATTTGAAATGAGAAGACCCACTTCTAATGTGGATCTTTGAGGTAGGAAGATATGCCTTCACTACATATCTTCTGAGGAGGGAAGCCCTGAATCTAACCTAGGCCACGCCTTCTGCTGGAAGCCCATATGAGGACACAGAAGAAGGAAGTTTTTTATCTTTGCCTGCTTGCTTTGACCTCGATAGCAGGTCCATTTTTTCACTGGCATTAGAGCCTCCTTCAGGATTCCAGCATATACTGAAGAGCAGCTGATGTTGTGCCCAGATCATGACCCCCA